GAATGTTGCTTACTATTTTACTTCTATGTATTGTTGTGTCTATTGTCTGAAATGGTGTAGGGTTTCCTACCTGAGCAGGGGATTGGACTAGAAGACTTCCAAACTGCTATTCTATTCTATTCTATTCTATTCTATTCTATTCTATTCTATTCTATTCTATTCTATTCCATTCCATTCCATTCCATTCCATTCCTTATTCCATTCCTTATTCTACTCTACTCTACTCTACTCTACTCTATTCATTCCAAATTACAACCACACTGAAAAAAGTGACCTACAATTGGTCCTTGCACTTACACCTGTAACGGCATCCCCATGGTCAGGTAATCAAAATTTGGGCACTTGGCAAGGGGCATATATTTAGGATGGTTGCAGCATTCCCAGGGCCATGTGGCCATACCACTTACAACCTGATTACAGCAAGGATTCACCACATAAAATTGTCAACATTTGTTTCCTGCAAAGCAACAGAAGCTGAAAATCCCAGATCTACCTGGCAGCATTATCTACCTGGTACCGAATGATCGGATTATGCCAACTGAACAGAGATGCTGTACCTTCATTCATATTGTTTCGTTGCTTCAGGGAGCTATTCAGGGAAAGAGCTTGAGGGATGATGAGCCGTACGCTTTCAAGGTTGTGCCGCACATGGCCATGGAGGTTCACCACGCGGGCTTTCTGCTCCTTGGATCCTGAAATGCCCACCTGGAAGGAATGCTGATTCAATTTTACTGATGATGTCAACTGCAGCCTGTTGTAAGAAAGAAATTAGTGAAAAACCAACATTAACAGTATTCTAAAAAGGCTACGCAAGCAGCCAGTCCAACTTTACAGTAAAAGAGCTTTCTATAATGTTTGCAATTTTGCAGAACTGCAGAAAAATCAACAGGTATCACGAGACCAAGACATGCAAAAATGTCTCAGCAGGTGAAAACCACTTGGCCAATTATTTCTGGTCCCCGAAGCTCAATAGGGTCAAGCTACTACTTCAATGGAAGGCCACCAGAAACAACATAGCTGTAGGCTATGCTTGAAGTCAACAAGCAACTAAGAAGGAGGCACTGGAAGAAAATCCATGGATTGTGTCCATGAAATCAGCAAAAGTTGAACTGAAAGTAAAGGAGACCTGATCTTAACTTTCAATGTATCATTCTTAAGTCTGCTTATTGTCATTTAAAAAAGGCCAATTTAAGACCCACACAATCCTGATATTTCATCCATTCTTGGTATTTCCTTCTCCAATACAATAACATAGATTTCTGTGGTTGATGATGATTGTTTTCTACTTCTTTTGTTGTTTTAGTATAAAGGTAAAGGTTCCCCTCGCATGAATGTGTTAGTCGTTTCTGACTCTAGGGGGCGGTGCCCATTTACATTTCAAAGCCAAAGAGCCAGCGCTGTTCGAAGACATCTCTGTGGTCATGTGGCCAGCATGACTAAACGCCAAAGGCACACAGAATGCTGTTATCAAACGTGCTTCCTATTTTTCTACTTGCTTTTTTATGTGCTCTACATGGGGCTGCCCTTGAAGAGCACCCGGAGACTTCA